GTGCCTTACTAGTAGTAACAAGAAGCTATTAGAAACAAGTGCCACGCTAGTAGCAACAGGTGCCTTACTAGTAGTAACAAGAAGCTATTAGAAGCAAGTGCCACGCTAGTAGCAACAGGTGCCTTACTAGTAGTAACTAAGAAGCTACTAGAAACAAGAAGAAGCTATTAGCCTAATCGCGATGGCCTCCAACCTACTACACGTGATGGCCTCCAACCTAATACCGAAGTCCGATGGCTTTAACCGCCCTAGTAGCAATGGCCTCCAACCTAGGAGTTTGGAAAAAGGTTACCTGTTAAAATGGCTAGTAAACACGACATTTGGAGAAATAGATTGTTTAAAGACCTGATTGTATGAAACAGTTCCTAAGTTTACAGAAATATGAACCTTTAGACATGTGTTTTTCCTGATGAACGATTGTGTAGAGTGGATTTGCGATCGGTTTGTATGAGTGTTGGTTTTACTTGGAATGTTCTTCGCGCACATTCATTTTGCAAGATTTTGCAAGGCTGGCGACCAACTGTACTTCGCAGAGGGCAACAACCCACGAAGGTGACTGAGCTAGTGAATTTCCTCCATTCAAGCTTCCAGAAGGTTCCAGGTTTCTATCTCTTCCTTGAAATGTGAAACAGAATGTTGCATGCTGCGGTTCGACGCTACTAGTAGGCAAAGGGCATCGCTACTAGGAGCAAGGACGCTACTAGGAGCTTTTTCGCTACAAGAGGAGTGTTCAGCGCAGCGCCGCAGGATCCATTTGGTCCGCTTTCATTGCACTGGCTGTGAAGAAGCATGCCAGACCTACATCACCGTCCTCCTGACACTGTGTTGTGACATGTCCTGCTGATTAAGTGTTGTTACTAATAGCTTCTTGTTACTACTAGTAAGGCACTTGTTACTACTAGCGATGCACTTGTTACTAATAGCTTCTTGTTATACTAGTAAGGCACTTGTTACTAGAAGTGATGCACTTGTTCCTAGTAGCATCATTGAGTGAGCAAGAGGAGCAAAAAGTCCAAAGCCAATCATTGCCACACCTTTCGCAAAGCAGCTAGTAAGTTGGAGGCCATCGCTGTTAGGTTAGTCGCGATTTGGGGTCGAGTCGAGAGAAAGCCCCTTTGGCAGGTCAATCCAGATTACGTGGCTCCTCAGATGCAGTCCCCCATTGACAGACGGCCCTCAAAAAATCATTTGGGTTGAACCAAAAGATGTGTCTTATCTGCACCAGAAACAAGGCGGTTGTCAATTACTTCTTTTTTACTACCCTTTTCGTTCTGGGAACCATGTGAACCATGAAATAGCCAAAGTGCTGCGTGTTCACTGCTACAGTGAAAGCAAGCCTTTGTACCAAGATGTACCAAGTCCAAAGTCTGTCGGTGCAAAGTCATCCGCAATCCCTTCATGCCCGCCTTGGCTTCTTGCTACTAGGAACAAGTGCATCGCTTCTAGTAACAAGTGCCTTACTAGTAGTAACAAAAAGCTATTAGAATTAAAGTAAAATTAAATTAAATTAACTACTAGCTTCTTGTTACTACTAGTAATGCACTTGTTACTACAAGCGATGCCCTTGTTCCTAGTAGCTTCTAGCTAGTAGTAATGCCCTTGTTACTAGTAGCGATGCTCTAGTTACTAGTGGCTTCTTTCATGTCCGCCTTGGCTGCAAAAGCACTCTACCTTTTTCTTTAGACCTTTAGATGTGTCTTTACTTTTTTTTCAGTCGTAGGAGGCCATCGCTAGTAGATTGGAGGCCAGTAGAAACATGTTTTAAAACCCTTTTGCGGTGACAAGAATTGCTTGTGCTTGAGGGTGCTTTGCCGTGGGTAACGGAGGCTAAAAGACCGGATGCGCGCTTCTTTTTGCTTTTGGGTCCGCGGGCTCACCTTGTTTTCCACTTAGAAGCCGTGAAGTTTAAACTGCTCATCCACAAAGATAGACAAAGCGAGCTGAATCTCTTGACGGCCACCTTCAGCCTTTGACTCGTTGACCTGCACAAAGCAAACACGTCTAAAAAGTTTCTAGCTACTAGTTGTAATGGCCTCCAACCCAATAGCTTTTTAAAGCCCGCTCCCCCGTCCACCCCTCCCCATTTAAATAAGTAGGCACCTACTTAGTCAAATAAGGAGGCAGCGCCACAGGCTAGAAAAAATCAATGTCCGTGAAGCTACTAGGAGCAAGAAGCTACTAGGAGCAAAGGGCATCGCTACTAGGAACAAGAACGCTACTAGGGGCTCCTGGCCTTACTACTAGGAGCAAGAACGCTACTAGGAGCAAAGAGAATATCCGTGACACGAGAATCTTGGAAACTTTCGTTTTCTCTTCGAGTCGAGTGCTGTGGCCAGACTTGGTGGACGTTCAACTTGAGCTGGTGCATCTAGTGTTTCCATCTTTTCTCTGATTCAATGAGCGGCCAAAATTGCTAGTAGTTTGTGCCAAAGCACAGATTGGATCGAAGTTGAGAATGAAACCAACTCAGCACGACAGGTACATGTTGTATTAGCCACATGTTGCATAGTACATACAAGCCAATGTGAACCGAGACATACTCGAATTTGGGCGTTTGAGAATGGTTGAACATCTCAGGGAAAAGCTGTGGAGAGGTGATGAGTTGTGTTCGACACACAAGACGCTGTTTCTTTCCTTGTGGTTTTCCTTTTTTTAGCCCGCCCTTCTAGTTAATACTAGTAAGGCACTTGTTCCTAGTAGCGTGGCACTTGTTACTACTAGCTAATAATTTTGTCTTACTTAATTAAGTAGGCGCCTACTTAATTGAAAGGGAATAAACTCAAGGCGACCAGTTAGCTTCTAGCAACTGGACACAGCATAGTTCACGCTTCCTTGAAGAAAGCGCCCGCACCAACTGATAGCCTGACAGCGATGGCCTCCAACCTAATAGCGTCCTTGCTCCTAGTAGCGATGCCCTTTGTTCCTAGTAGCTTCTTGTTGCTAGTAGCGATGCCAGGAGCTACTAGTAGCGATGCCCTTGCTCCTAATAGCGATTGCCTCCAACCTAGAAGAGATGTGCAACTCTTAGGGTCTTCAGAAGTCGGCCTCCTCAGTTTGTTATCGCTACTAGGAGGAAGGGCGCTACTAGAGGCTCCTGGCCTTACTACTAGGAGCAAGGAGCTACTAGGAGCAAAGGGCATCGCTACTAGGAGCAAAGGCGCTACTAGTATTTCTCAGTTTGTCATCTGGCTTACTCGTCATGTTCCCTTCACGAAATGTACGTTCTGTTCACGCTGTTTCTGAGGCTTCTTTGCAACAGGATTTGGATTTCACCTGTGCCATGCTGGCCGAGGACCAAGATGTGGAGAAACGAAATAAAGAGCAGTTGTTTCGAAGAAATAAGACATGTTCATTATAGAGAACCCATAAACATTTTTCATGTTTTGTTTTCATACGACAAAATAGATTGTTTGTCTTGGTCTTGTTTGTCATATTTGATCTAAAGAATCTAAAGAAAATACAAACAAAGGCACCAGAAACGGTCATTGGTTCGCTCTTTGAGTTTCTGTGTCTTCGTGCGTGTCTGAACGGTGAGGGTTAAGTAGCTACTGGACGGAATGCCGAACTATTCATGTGCTGAAACTTAGAGCTATGGCCTCCACCGTTCCCAACTACATTTCAAAAGAACAACCGTTTTACAAGGAGCTTTGTGTCAAAACCTGCGCCAAGGTGTCCACCACTGTGGAGACCTCAAAACCGAAGGGCAGATGTGAGCAGAAAGAGGCCGTACTATTACCCCTAGTAATAGTAGCGATGCCAGGAGCCCCTAGTAGCGTCCTTGTTCCTAGTAGCGATGCCCTTTGCTCCTAGTAGCGTCCTTGCTCCTAGCAGTAAGATTTTTGGAGAAGAATCTGCATGGAAGAGTGGATTGTGTGTATTCTGAAGAAGTAACTTCAACTAATGCGTTTAGAATTGCATTTCCTGTATTTTACTACATCGAAATCAAAAGGGTCGGGCACATCCAAAAGCTGAGTCAACTCGAGAACTCGGTTTTCAGTACAAAGGGCATCGCTACGAACGGAACAAGGACGCTTCTAGGGGCTCCTGGCCCTACTAGGAGCAAAGGGCATCGCTACTAGGAGCAAGGACGCTAGTAGAAACAAGTGCATCGCTTCTAGTAACAAGTGCCTTACTAGTAGGAGCAAGGACGCTACTAGGAGCAAAGGGCATCGCTACTAGTAACAAAGGGCCTTTTGTTTCACATGTGTTCGCCTCCCTTTCTTTTCTGAGACGGTGGAACCTGGAGAGTTTCAGGCGCGAGTGGCAAGCAGACGTGACGATGGTGGAGAGAAGAGACAAGACATGTAGAGATATGAGACTACAAGAAGAAAGGCAACAAGAAGATACAACAAGTGCTTACCGCCGGTTTGGGATGTCTTGCTGGAATCTCTGTGGCTTACCTAACCTTACCCTGAGTTCTATGTGACTTTTGGTACCTTTAGACCTCTTCTTTGTATAGCTTAAGTGCGCTTGGGGAAGCGAGTCGAAGGAACACGAAGTTCCGCCCACCTAGTCGGCAAAATGTGGTCTCTCAGCCCACATGTTGACAGGACCTGTTGACAAAAGAATTCTGTCTTTCCCAGTTACTACTAGGTTGGAGGCCATTGCTCTTGGAGTTGTGAATGTTCTGTCTTTCCCAGTTCCTCACAATTCCTCCCACGTTCTCTTTGCAGGTGTCCTCGGTCTCCTCGTCACCGTGGTGGTGGCCTCTTCTTTTGTGTTCCTTGGACTGATTGGAGTGATGCATAAGCATTGGCAATCTTGGAATGAGTGGAGTTGGAGTGAGTTTCATTGCTCTTTTCGAACAGTCTCTCTGAAAACCTCTCTGAAAACCCAGGTCTTTTGCTTTGCTGCTGCTACCTGAGAATGCTTTCCGCACGAAAGCGGCTTGAGATTGATATTCGGTCCAAGCGATGAACCAGTTCTGTCTGAGAAAGTCCTTAATTACAAGGAGGAGAATCCTTTCAGAGGAGTGTGTGACACGGAGGTTGCTAGCCCCTAGTAGCTTCTGGTTCCTAGTAGTAAGGCCAGGAGCTACTAGTAGCGTCCTTGCTCCTAGTACCGATGCCAGGAGCCCCTAGTGGCGTCCTTGCTAGTAGGTTGGAGGCCGCTGTGGGACACCGAGGTTGCTTAGCAGGTTTTCTGATCTTCGATGAAGATTGGCAGAGGCGATGGCCGAGCTACGACGACGACCGTGCGAACAAACAGAAGAGTTCTTCAGGCGCTGTAAAGGCCACAAAAGAAATCCTAGGGTAGTTTGCAAAGAAAGCTACTAGCAAAAGCTACTAGTAACAAGGTG